TCTCCGCGAAGCTACACGCTGTCTGCCATAGCCGGCTCAATGCCCTTGATGTATTGACAAAGGTATTTCCAGCCACTCCATTGTTTCAATTCGTTGTTTCTGCATCAGGCTTAAACAGGTCTGGAGTCTTCACACGTGTGGGCCATGTTGCTCTGGCCTGATTCACTCTCAATCTCTCTCCAAAGCCAATGAAGTCTGTCCGCCTTGCGCTGATGTATGGCACGGACGGGTGAAAGGACTGTGTAATCCTCTTTGGTTCACCGCCCTCCTCTTCAAGCTCCAAGCCCGCGTAGGTCAACAGGCTGCTGAAGTTCCAAGTTGCACGCAACTCACAAAGTCTATCAGCCTCTGTGTCGCTGAGAAGCTCCTCAACTTTTGCAATAGATTTCCAGCGAGCCGGGGCAATGACGACCGACTCCTTCACCTCACCTGTTCCCATTCCTCCTTCGTCACGCTCTTCTACAGCAGGACTGAAGCCCGAACAGCTGAGTCATTTCGAGCCCGTCGTCTCCCCACGTAGTCCTCTGTCTCAATCACCACACTCTGAGCAACCGCGCTTGAAGGCTGGTAGTGGCACACCTCTTGGCTCCACGAACCCTCTGCTCCTGACAGGCGCGCAAAGAGTAGGTGCTCCACCAACCAAATCCCAATGTTCTGGGACGCCCTGGATCGTGTATGCCTGACCGGCTTCGTGGCGCTGCTTATGGTGCGGACCGTGGGGTAGCAGAGGCGACGCTGACCAGCGCTCCGCTACCATGCGAAGCAGAAGCACCTTTTGCTCACACGCTTGGGCCTAAAGTGCCCAAGGCACACTTCGTGATGTGTGTGTACTATGCTTGGTTGCTACATGTGGATCACTCTTTCATTCTGTCAGACTTAAAAAAGACTTGAAGCCAACTGGAACTCTCTGCCAGATGGCATTCGGACGCCCAAAGAAGAAAAGGCTCCCATTGTGTTCCATAAAGGAATGGGCATCAATGACGCCTTGTCAGTGGCAAGGCAAAAATTTGTTGGCGGCAAGGCTGTCCAAGAATGTTCACTCAGCCTGGAGGCACAGAGCCAAAGGATTGTGAATCGGCTCGCATCAGGATCCTTCGAAGTCAAGGAAGTCAAACGGAAGAGCCTTAAAAGAAAACGAAGAATTGGCTCACTGACCGCAGTATTCCAAGTTTCTGTCCTCTCAGGTGTTCCGGAAGAAAAGTACAGGTGTGGGCCGTAGACCTGAAACGTGCAGAGTGGACTTGCAATGGCCTCCAACCTAGTAGCGTCCTTGCTCCTAGTAGCGATGCCCTTTGTTCCTAGTAGCTTCTTGCTCCTAGTAAGGCCAGGAGCCCCTAGTAGCGTCGTTGTTCCTAATAGCGATGGCCTCCAACCTAGCGATGGCATCCAACCCAATAGCCCAGCTTGCGCTCTATTTTCGCATTTGTTCGTTTGGGCTGCCCTGCAGCATGGCCAGAACCGATCGGCACGGCTCCACCAACCTGGAGTAGCTTCAAGAAAGAAACCAAACTGATCAAAGAAAGCCTGTTTAATGTCGGCTTTTCCGAAGCAGTCTTTGCGGAACATGTTCAAAGTCTGGGGGGCAAAGCTACTAGTAACAAAAAGCTACTAGGGGCTCCTGGCCGTACTACTAGTAACAAAAAGCTACTAGCAGTTGTGAAGCCAAGAAGCTTCGAAGCAAAGCGACTTCTCAGGCCCAAATCCCGTTGGGTGGAACCCTCTGCGCTACGTTCCATGATGTGGAAATGAATAGCAATGTCCTCCAACCTAAAAGCAATTTTCTCTACCTCAATAGCGATGGATAATCCGGAGCATCAAATCAATCAAAATTGTATTTTTGAGATCCTTCTCAAAAAGCAATTAAAGGAACGGAATGTAGGAACAGGATATAGAACAACAATGAACAACATGTAATTAAGAAACATAATTCGATCGGTATAGCATTGGCTCGCTTTTGTCTTTTTTCTGTATGGAAACTTGGGTGCGAGGAAGGTCACCACAATATTATCTGCAATTCTTCGTTGGTTATATTGGTTGTGGTGAATGCACAGCAAAAGCAAAAGAATTCTGTTTCCATGTTCTAGCTGATTCTCCTCTCAGCGAGCCACATCAAAGGTTCGGAAAGGTCGGCCTCCAAGACCATCTCCCAAGGAATAGTGGCAAAGCTCAACCTCATCTAAAACAAGCAAGATCTTGTCCAACCCGAAAAATGTTGCTTAAACAAAAAGAGGCTCGTTTTGTTTTTCGAAACTAGTCAAGACACAGAAACAAGAAGCTACTAGGAACAAAGGGCATCGCTACTAGGAGCAAGAAGCTAGGGGCTCCTGGCCTTACTACTAGTAACAAGAAGGCTACTAGCAACAATTGGCGCACCATCCGGCCGTTTCTGGGTGTCTCGGCCAGGTCCCTAAAATGCCCAGCTGGCCACAAACCTCACGACATCTCATGACAAAACACGAGGAAAACATAGGAAACTCCTGGAAACGCATAGGAAATAGTGAGTGTCTTTGAACTACAAATTGAAACGTTTGCAACAGGTCTGAGTCAACAATTGATTGCCTCTATTCTCATGTCTGTACAAAGTCCAACATGAAAGAACGACAGCCGTGCCAGCTGTGAAAGCCTCTAAGATCTGGACAAGAACCCAAAGTAAACTTCGGATCCCGTCGTGCCACCTGGTGCGGTCAACGGCACCAGCTCGACCTTCCGTCCGTAGGCAGTAACAAGAAACTAGTAGCTAAGGGAATTACTATACACTAGTAGCTACTAGTAACAGGAAACTACTAGGAGCAAAGGGAATCGCTACTAGGAGCAAAGGACGCTACTAGGGGCTCCTGGCATCGCTACGAACGTAACAAGGTTATCAACACAAGAACGCTCCATGGCCTCCAAGCTGCGTTCCGGTCCTCCGGTCCTTCCATGTCCTTCCCGCCTCTCTTTTTCTTGTTTCTAATGGCTTCTTGTTACTACTAGTAAGGCACTTGTTACTAGAAGCGATGCACTTGTTCCTAGTAGCTCTCCCCGCCTTTCTTTTTCCATGTTCAAGGCGAGGCCCATAGAGACCAGGAAGTAAGCCACGGTGAGAGAAAAACCCAGCCGCCAGCTCACCTCGCACGGTTCCATAGTCGAATTCCAAATTTCAGGGTTCTCTTCCGGTAGTAGGCAATGTCCCACGTACGACAATATTGTTCCGTTTGCTTCCAATATGTCACTCTTCATGTGTCTGTGACTGTGACAATATGTGTCCAACTCAAAATGTACAAACCATCGCTTTTTTCTGTTTTTAATCATTGCGAGCATCGATTGCTGTGGGGCATAGCTGGGCAGGTCTCTAAAAGGTTGAAGGTTTTCGTTTTTTTGTATTTTTCTGGTAGCGCTTTCACATAGTGGTTCCGTGGCAGGCATAGCATTTTGAGTACCGTCAATTGCTCATTTGAGGCCGCCCCCGAAGGGTGTCCTAATTTTCAAAGCGGGGGGGGGTAGACGCCCACCTCTACCTTCCCGCCCAGGGCCGGGGAGAGGGGAGGGGTGGTCACGACTACTACTACTTTTCGCAGTTCCCCACGGATCCTTCTTCAAGGTCCTCGTAGCGCAGGCAGGGGGGTGGCCACGACTACTACTATTTTTCCCAGTTTGAGGGGGAGGGGCCCACGACTACTACTATTTCCTCGTAGAATAGGATCAAGGCCGTCGTAGCACAGGATCCTTCTTTAAGGCCCTCGCAGCGCAGGATCTTTTTTTATGTCATGTAAGAAGGATTCGGCGAGAGGGTTTAAGGCCCTCGTAGCACAGGATCCTTCTTTAAGGCCCTCGTAGCGCAGGATCCTTCTTTAAGGCCGTCGTAGCGCAGGATCCTTCTTTAAGGCCGTCGTAGCGCAGGATCCTTCCTCAAGGCCCTCGTAGCGCAGGATCCTTCCAGCAGCAGCAAGCAGCAGCAGCAACCAGCAGCAGCAGCAGCAGCAGCAGCAACCAGCAGCAGCAACCAGCAGCAGCAGCAGCAACCAGCAGCAACCAGCAGCAGCATGCAGCAGCAGCAGCAGCAACCAGCAGCGCGGCTTTATGGCCTGTAAGAAGAATTCGACGAGATGCGGGGGGACTACTACTACTACTACTACTACTCCTACTACTTTTCCTAGTTCGAGGCGGGGGGGGCACGACTACTACTACTTTCTCGGGGGCGTCCTGGCTCATTTTGTGGCAGGCGGAGCATTTCGGCAGCCTCGAAGTGCAGATTTCGTGGCAGGCGCGGCGCTTCGGGAACCTCGAAGTGCCGATTTCGTGGCAGGCGCAGCACTTCGTGAACCTTTAAGCGCAGACCTCGTGGCAGGCGCAGCACTTTGTGAACCTGGAAGCGCACCTTTCGTGGCAAGTGCAGCACTTTGTGAACCTGGAAACCTTTTTGTGGCAGGAGCTGCATTTTTTCGAACCTCAAAGTGCAGATTACACTTCAGAGCTCACGCGTGAAAGAATGAAGCAATGCGAGGATCACAGCTGGAGCAAGGAAGCTAGGGGCAAGGACAAGGGGTGCCTTTTTTCGCGTCGGCTGGTTCACATCACTTTGGATAGGTGGTTCGAAGCGCAGCTATCCTCTCAACAGCTGGTAAGGGATCACACAAAAACAAAAACGGAAGCAACAATTATTCCAACCCATTGAGGATGGTTGGGGTTGAGCATCGGCTCAAAGCCTTCAACAGAAACATCGGACCAGGCAGACACAAAAGAACGAAAGGATAGAAATGCTGGGCATTGCTGAGGGGCGCGCTATATCAACCACCTCTGTGGCTTTGTCACAACTTTTGTAGTATGGAAGCTATAACTACTTGCAGCATTGTTATAGCATTCACTGCGCAGAGGTGTTGGAAGCTAAGGTCGGCCCTATCATCCACCTGTGTGGCATTGCCACACTGTTCAGAGCATAGAAGAATGGAGGGGACAGCCAGCCACCTCAAAGGACCGAAGACAAGGACTAACACGCCAACACTCCAAAAATGTGCCAAACAATGGCATGCGCAAGCCTCCAGGACCCCCCAAGCATATGGCCAATCAGGAACAGGCAGCAAAGACACTGACTTGAAAGCCTTCAAAAGTTAGATGGCTCAGTTTGGTTCCGCAAGTGCCCTGCGTGGAAGCGATCTACGTTGACAAAAAGGGAGCGCTTCACATCTGCTTCAAGATCAACAGGAGTAGACAATGAAAGGATATGTGCAACAAGTTCTTCAAAGAGACTTAGACGACGTGCAAGATGTGATCTGCAAACGCGATGGGCGACCCTTTATATAGTTAGTTTTCGTGGCAGGCGCAGTGCCAGAGTGCAGATTTTGTGGTGCTGGAGGGGGGTTGGGGGGAGGGCGCAGCGCCTCCCCAAAGCGAACCAAACGTTAAAAACACAGCACCACAAAAGAAATCACCAGAAACTAAATACCCTATCGCCCCCTCAGTGAAGGGCATCAAAAAGTGCACAAAAGGACCTAAGGCAACCGAAGCCAAAAGCATTGTACATTTGTAGGGAAACTGCGGCCAATAAGCTACAAGAGAAAGGACCAAAGGCATCAAAAAGCATCAGTGAAAGAACCAGAGGACCCGCAGACCACAAGGGCGAGGAGAGCAGCAGAAGAGGCCTATCAAGAAATATTTGTGTTGATCCTTTACAAGTATTTCTGTATTTCTATGTTGATCCTCTTTATATTTTTTGTGATGCTCTTTATTTTTTGTTGATCTAGATGCCCTCGGCAGCAGTCATGCCCTGGCAACATAGCAAGATGGTTGGAAAGATGATGAAAGGAAGAATCCGAGACATGCTCCAAAAGCCACCAAAAGCCAACACCCGCCAAAAGCCAGAAGCCGCCCAAAGCCAAAAGCCACCAAAAGCCAAAACCTGCCAAAAGCCAAAAAAAGCCAAAGCTAACAGAAAGCTATCAAACCACCAACGGTGAAAAAAATCTTAAAACCATGGCTGAACACCCGACCCTTGCGTAGTCGGTGCGTGAAGCGGTCGCTTATAGCACCCCTACCTATTTGCGATGCCCTTTGCTCCTAGTAGCAATGCCAGGAGCCCCTCGTAGCTTCCTTGCTCCTAGTAGTGATGGCCTCCAAAGGGCACGTTGCTGATCCTGAGACGTCATGCACCCACCGCCGCATCCTGCCTGTGTCGCCGCCAAGATCAATCCACAGCAAAGGAGATTGCCAAAAGCAAATGCGGCCCATGGGAGCAGCGACGCTACCAGCTTTCCCATGAATGCAATGGGAGGCCGCTCTTAGGGCCAATACGGACTTTAGAACGCTTGTGGCGCACAATCTCATACAAAACTTAAGGGCAAACCGTGCAAACCCAGAATAGCCTTCGTTCTTCACCGGACTGCGTGAGAACTCCAAACAGGAACTCAGAAGGCTAATACGGGCAGTATAAATTTGAGTAGCCACTTGTTCGAGGGCACAAACACTCCAAACATCGCAAACACAAGTGATTTAGGAACAAGTGCATCGCTTCTAGGAACAAGTGCCTTACTAGTAGTAACAAGAAGGTATTAGTAACAATTGCTACATGTCCTCTAGCACCATTCGCATGCTCGACTGCCTTGATGTCACAAATCCGACAAGTCTTGACGATGTCTCTAAGTCCAAAGTTCACAAATCGCCATTTCAACTAGCCTCCGGTTCACCACTGGGTTGGTGCAATGAGTCAGCAATGAGTGCGTTTTTTTCACACGAGAGCCGGAGAGCCTCCATCTTTGATGGGCATGTGGGCAATCCGAGATGTCTGCATTCATTCAAAGTGTCATTCAATTTTGTTCAATATTGTTCAAGTGCCACGCTACTAGGAACAAGTGCCTTACTAGTAGGAACAATGTTCGCTACTACGGTGTTTCATCTCCTTCAGCCCAGTCGGTGCAACTTTTGAAGGATTGTGGACAATTCGACCTCATCTTCCAACGGGTTCCGAACCGAAACGGGTTCGCCGTAGATGTTTGGAAAGATGAAGCGAAGTTTGTGCAAGAAGGGTCTGTGGCAAGAAATCTTCGGATCGTGTGCAGGCCGATTCCTGGTGTACGCCTGATCTCCTACCAATGGCAAGCCAGCATGCTCGCAGTGAACTCGGATCTGATGTGTTCGTCCTGTGAGAAGTCGCAAATGCAAAAGTGCATAGCGGCATTGCTGCATAGAACCTCCAGATTTGCTTTGATAGACTGCAAGTTCTTCATAATGCGTCACGGATGGCAAGCCACGATGACTCACTTCACAACGTCTTGACCAATGGTAAGTCTCTTTGTCAATCGGTGCACAAATCACACCACGAGGTTTGTCTCTGTAAGGGAGTCTGGCATCTGCGAAACAACCATGAACTAGAGCCACGTAATCCCTGATGAAATGCTGCTTGTGCATACGATCCTTCGCAAAATTCCAGGCATCCTGGTTCTTTGCCATAAGCAAGCAGCCCGAAGTGCCAACATCCAATCTGTGAATCAAACCAAATAGCATTTCCGGGTTCATGACCTCGCTCATCTGAGGATCGGCACCGAAGCGCAAGAAGATATAATCCGGCAAAGCTGCAGGCTCCTTTTGATACAACAGGCTCTCGCACAAGCGCTTTCGATTACTCATGTCCATCTCCTGGCACACTCTTACGCACACGAAATGGAATTTACCGAACTCGGTGAAAAAGGTCATCCAAGACATTCGTGGACACTCCACTTAGGCCTTTAGGCCGCACTATGCACAAGCAATGGTCGGTCTGTACTGAAAATGGTTCGCAATAAATTATATGACCACGGATTTTTTCATTGTGGAGGATCATCATCTTCATAAGGGCCACAACTTTGGAAGTTCTTGTCCAAGAAATCAATGCTCTGCAAAGGTTTCATCTACAAGCAACAACGTATAAAGAAAAGGAAAAAACACTTAGAACAGCTGCCCTTTGCTTGTCGCCTCTCAGCATCTAATCACAGAAAGAATCACGCAAGAAACAGTTTTGTCTAAGAGATATTTTTTCCTAATAGGAGCCCTTGAATTATACAACAATGCAAGATGTGAGGAAGGAATCAAGGAGCAGGGAAACATAGAAGGAAATAGAAAAAGGAGTAGACAAATCAATTTACAGTAAGGGAGGCACTAAATAAAAGACATAAATGCAAGCCACAAGTAAGGAAAGGTATCAGTAATTTAAACAAGATGGAACCCACGAACCCGAATGCAAACACGATCGAAAAACTAATATGTCCAAAGGACACTCTTGTAGGACACTCTTGTAGAACACTTGTGTGGGTCACTTGCAGGACACTCTTGTGGGACACTCTTACACGACACTCTTGTAGGACACTCTTGTGGGACACTCTTGTAGGACACTCTTGTAGGACACTCTTGTGGGACACTCTTGTCGGACACTCTTGTAGGACACCCTTGTGGTCTTGTGGGACACTCTGCACTCTTGTGGGACACTCTTGTAGGACAGTCTTGTGGGACACTCTTGTAGGACACTCTTGTGGGACACTCTTGTAGGACACTCTTGTGGGACACTCTTGTGAGACACTCTTGGGGGGCACTCTTGTGGGTCTCTTGTGGGTCACTCTTGTAGGAAACTCTTGTGGGACACTCTTGTAGGACACTCTTCTAGGACACTCTCGTGGGACGCTCTTGTGGGACACTCTTGTGGGACACTCTTGTAGGACACTCTTCTAGGACACTCTTGTGGGACACTCTTGTGGGACACTCTTGTGTGACACTCTTGTAGGACACTCTTGTGGGACACTCTTGTGGACACTCTTGTGGGACACTCTTGTAGGACACTCTTGTGGGATACTTGTGTAGAACACTCTTAAGGGACACTCTTGTGAGACGCTCTAGTGGGACACTGTTGTGGGACAGTCTTGTACGACACTCTTGTGGGACACTCTTGTAAGACACTCTTGTGGGACACTCTTCTGGGACACTCTTGTAGGACACTCTTGTAGGACACTCTTGTGGGTCACTCTTGTGGGGCACTCTTGTAGGACACTCTTGTGGGACACTCTTCTGGGACACTCTTGTAGGACACTCTTGTAGGAAACTCTTGTGGGTCACTCTTGTAGGAAACTCCTGTGGAACACTCTTGTGGGACACTCTTGTAGGACACTCTTGTGGGACACTCTTGTGAGACACTCTTGTGGGACACTCTTGTGGGTCACTTGCAGGACACTCTTGTGGGACACTCTTAGGAAACTCTTGTGGGACACTCTTCTAGGACACTCTTGTGGGATACTCTTGTCGGACACTCTTAAGGGACACTCTTAAGGGACACTCTTGTGAGACACTCTTGAGCGACACTGTTGCGGGACACTCTTGTGGGACACTCTTGTGGCACACTCTTGTGAGACACTCTTGTAGAACACTCTTGTGGGAAACTCTTGTGGGACACTCTTGTGGGACACTCTTGTGGGACACTCTTATAGGACACCCTTGTGGGACACTCTTGTAGGATACTCTTGTGGGACACTCTTGTAGGACACTCTTGTGGGACACTCTTGTGGGACACTCTTGTAGGACACTCTTGTGGGATACACCTGTAGGACACTCTTAAGGGACACTCTTTTGAGACACTCTAGTGGGACACGGTTGCAAGACACTCTCTTGTGGGACTCTCTTCCAGCTTTTGAGATACTCCGCGTACTAAAGTTGTACTGCAAGGTCGCCAGTTCTCAGCTTCCAGCTCCCCAGATACTCCGCGTACTAAAGTTGTACTACAAGGTCGCCAGTTCTCAGCTTCCAGCTCCCCAGATACTCCACGTACTACAGTTGTACTACAAGGTCGCCAGTTCTCAGCTTCCAGCTCCACCGGACAAATCGCACTCTCGCCTGCATTTCGCGCACTCAACACGCACGATCTCCGCAGAGGGTTGCGCGCGCATGGGACAAATCGCACTCTCGCCTGCATTTGGTGCACTCGACACGCACGATCTCCGCAGAGGGTTGCGCGTCAAGTCTCCAAAACGAGCGTTTCGTACGAGACTTCCTCAAAAACTCACACGTCAAAGTCTGCAAAACGAGCGTTTCGTACGAGACTTCCTCCAAAAGTCAAGCGGAAACACCCATCGGAGCCTAAGGGCAATGGCCTCCAACCTAAGGGCAATGGCCTCCAACCTAA